GGCTTTTTATATGTTATATCTATTTATTCATTAACTTTCTTTTATGGATGCTTGTACAAAGATCTCATACTTAAATATGTTACTGTTAAATGAGCTATCACTGTTCATGTGCTGCTGTTTGGTATAGAAATAAACAACTCAAACTGGATGTGCCCCTGAATTCTAGGGATGACAAACTTGCCTGACTAATATACTGGGGCTCATATAAAGCAAAAAATAACACCTTAACATTTTTAGAACTATAAACTCAAATAAATTAATCATAATAAAATGTACAGATAATCATTTGCTAATAGTTATCTATAGTTTTTTAGGTTGTTTCAAAGTTTAATATTTTGAATATTTTATATAAACAAATGTATTTAATTTTTTTAAAACATGTTTCCACACCCTCTTTGTTTCATTATAACTGCTGTTCTAATATATATATATATATATATATATATATATATATATATATATATATATATATATATATATATATATATATATATATATATATATATATATATATATATATATATATATATATATATATATATATATATATATATATATATATATATATATATATATATATATATATATATATATAAACATTTATATGTTATAAATGTATATATGAAATAAATCACTACTTTTAAAAGCTTAATCTAAAATTAGAATTAGTTTATAAAAAATTTTATATAAAAATTTTTATGAAATATACTTCCTGTATAATTTAAACAGGAAGACAGCAATTTAAGTACAATATAAGTATGTTTAAAAAAATGTCGGTAATGGAAATCATAGAGGTTTATAAAATTTTTATGTAACAGCATTTAATAACTAAAGAATTATCTTTAGTTATTTTTGTTGTTTATTAAAAAAAAATTTTAAATTTGTACAATAATCTTTTTTATTAATTATTGTGCAATTTGTACACATCTTTATATAAGGCTGTTAAAAATAAGTAAATTCTTTGATGTTTTTTTCCATGGTTATATCGTAGATATATGATACAGGATATAAAAAATACCTTGTATTGCATTTTATAATCCGATTAGATTAATCTGCTTTTCAACAGTTATTATAGAGAACTTTAAAATATGTTTGTATTAGTTAGTGTTTTTTTTAATTAATTTTGACTTATTTTGTGATCAATATAAATTTATATTGTATATTTTTATAAAAATCTAAAATATGTAACTTCAATTATATTGCTTCCTGGTTATTGCTTGATTTTTTAGTTTGTCAGTGTAAAGAAGTTTTTACTGAGAGAAAAAAACATAACATTAATTTGTAGCCATATTTTTTATTATAGTTCTTTTTATTATGTATATCTGTATAATTTTTACTTATAGAATATATATTGAATTGTTTCCAATAAATTTTAAGAACTTATATAATTGAATAAATAAGTTTAACAATTAAGAATATGTAATATAAGCTGAAACATGGAAAAAAGTATTTCAAATGATTCCTTTGATGTGGGAAAACGCCAGCAGGTATTTTAAAATTATTTAAGTATATTAAAATATATAAAAATTATTTTTACATATTGAAGATATTTTATAGTTTATATTCTGTATATATATATATATATACAATAAAGGCATTTTCAGAGGTATTTCAAGATGTTATGGTTGTTTATTTTAACTTTTATATGTAAGAAAAATGAAGTCAAACAAACTTTTTTCTTTTCTCTCCATTATAGTTTACATCTGTATTATATTTTTGTAAGCAGAAATGTTTTAATATAATGATTTTAATTGAATATTTGAAAATGGTATAAAACAAAAATCTATATTGATTTCAATTATGTGTATTTATATTTTTATGATTATATTTGTTGCAAAATGTTTAATAATTATGCTAAAATTAATTTTATATTTAAATTTTAAATTTAAAATAGATATGCTAAAAAGATGTAATACTGCTTTTTTAATGAGATTTTAATTTCAACAAGGAAAATTCTAATAAAAATTGATGTTTAATATTTTATAAATGAATGTGGAGGTTTAAAAAAAAGATTTAATGTTGAGCGTGGAACTACTAGGGGGTGGGGATCAACCTTAGAACTTCTTACTTATGAAGCGAGAGCACTACCACTACACCACTACCACATTTTTTTATTTCTTGTTTACTTCTTGTTATGCTAAATTGATTATACTAAATGATTGATGAATTATGCCCCAACCCTCAGTATTGTTTGATTCCTTTTTTTTACTCTTCAAATGTTGTTTCCACAATAAGGCCATCTCTGGTACTCAGAGAGACTGCTTCTTTCATAAAATACTGTAAAATACCAGATTTTTAACAGAGTCATTTTGCACATAGAAGGTGTCTATGTTTGTGCTTTTGGTGTGCATTATCAAGGAGCCTTTAGTTACAGCATTAAGTTGACAAGCATGAATGAGACAACCTCATAGCTTATTTTTTAAGGTAACATTTTTTAAAGTGCACTCTGTATAATTGAGTCAAGTTCTCTAATTATTTGTATTAATAAAAAAAACTACCAAATCATGTCAATCTATCCTTTAATAATATTCATGGTCTTTAAAGTAACAATCCATGGAACTTTATCTTTTGAGAAATTTTCTACACCTAATTGCTTTTTGTTAGAGTAATTCATCTCTTTTATTTGGATCTTAAAGTAGGCGGTTATTATCCTTTAATTTGTAAAGACTAACTTATATATCAAGTGATAATAGACACAATCTTAGTCTTGATCATTACATATTAATTCATTTATTTGTTGCAAAATCAGGTTTGAATCATATGAGTATTTATCTAGATGCTTATTATATGCTTAGCTCCTCTTCACTCAATCACTGTTTTTTTTTTTGTCAATCATGTTGTTATTGGTGACCTTAATGCTTGTCACAATTAATGGCTGGGCTTTAGTACCACTGAACTTGCAGGCTCTAAAGGCCAAAATTTTTTCTGCTTTTCTCAATCTCTTTTTCAGATAGTTAACTGTGTCTTTGTTTTCCGGACAATCCTAACCATTTAATCTGGTTCGTGCTAAGTTTCTCCTTATACTACTTTAGCTGGTTGAGATTATGATTACTGAAACTTTTGTCTCATGCTTCATTCTCATGTCATGCTTCTTTACTTCTATGTTAAGGCTGAATCAGTTGTTTTTTTTGATTTTCTTCATGATACTTTTTGGGCTGGTGCCTTTTCATTCACTCCAAGAAGTAGGCAGGCAAGGAATTTTTTGGTTCCTTCTTGTTGTTTTCAAGTTAAGCCTCATTTACTCACATAGTTTTCTCCATATTGTGGGATCATTCCTAACTTTAATGATTTTTTTCATCTTTTCTGGACAACAAGCATCTTATTAAAGCAAGCAAATTATTGCAAGGTATCGTTTGATGCTGTCTGATCCATTCTTCTCTGAGAAATCTAATATTTTAAGTTAGCTTTTAGAGACTTTTGTTTTGTTTTGTTTTTGTTTGGAATGTTTGTTTGGAATGTTTGACTTTGTTTCAATGTTATTGTCAAAATAAATTTAACTAAGGCAAGTCTAACATTTTTTCTTTTATACATGGATCTAATCTTATTAACTTCCTAAAGATAAAACAAAGAACTTTTCCTTTAACTTCTCACTTGAATATAGTAATATATTATAGAAATAATATATAATATAAATATAAACAATCAAATTACTCCTACTTCTGTTGTTCTGCTAAAGTTATTTCCTACTTACACTCTTCTATAGCTTGTAGTCTCAATAACACTGCTTTCACACAAAAGTGTTTTCCAGAATTTTTTTCCAGAACAAAGCACATTTATTTACTACAAACAGTTTGATATCAATATTGTTGATAATTCTATATTAATGAATGTCCATACTCTTTTTTTTTTTTTTTTTTTTAACATCTATGCTTTTGACAATCTACCTCCATTAGAGTTGGAAGTTACTGGAAGAGAAGTTTATAGAGCAAGATAATGATTGACGGACAACTTTAATGATTGCAAATTGTATGAATCAAGAAAGCAATATAAAGGAAGCCAATTCCAAAGAACTAATGTTTGAGGAAAAAAACTAGACAAATCAGAATTTTTATTTGTGTGATACAAGAGTGATATGAATGTCAAGCAATCGATCAACCTCTTTGTTGCTTATATCAAGTAGAATGCAACTAGCGGAATCAAGAGATGATATTGATGAAAAGTTTTTAATAAGTCTTTAGGTAAAGTGACAAAATCTAAACCATACAAGATAGCTGGAATAACAGGTATGCCCTTATTATTGATACTGTTAAAGACTCTTCAGAAGTCATGAGAACCTAATTTATGAGATGAAATACAAGTTTTCTTGACCTGAGAATAGCGCCCTTTGGTATTAGACAAAACCTTTTTACAATAGTTTCTAGTAATAGTAAACAGATGTCTGTTTTTTTTAGAATTGTTTTGCTGATAGATATGGAAGTAACAATTTTGATTGGCAATTGCAACAGCACAATGTGATGAAAACCATGGAGATGAGTGAGGCTTGAAACGTTAAGAGGAAATAAAAGATTCCATGCCATTCTAAATCCAAGAAGTTACATAAGAAGTGCATTTGTCAACAAGAAGACGAAAGATTTCTACCTAAGGGCCATCATGAAGAAAATCACAGAAAGAGTCCTAGTCAGCTTTAAGGTAGTTGTAAGAGGTATGATGATAGGAGGATTCTGATGATGAAGAAGAATGAGATAATAGTTTTAGAAAGATCAAACTTTGATCAGAAACACCTGAAAGTGAATGTGGAGTAATTTAGCACTGACTAGGATCAGAAACAAGACATAAGTTGAGTAGAGAAGGTAAATGGTTCGGGTTGCCAGGAAAGCGAGTTGGAAAGTTGACTGAGTCAGAGATTGAGAAAAGCAAAAAAAAGGCTAGATCAATTTGATCAGAAATAACATTGAAAAGAGTGCAGTTTTGAGATGAAGGAGAGCGATATAGAACAAAAAGAAAGGCGATTGAGTGAAGTGGTGCTAAATAAAAGCACATAAAAGAATAGTCTGTTGATTCAAACTTAGTTTCCCAACAAATGGTTGAATTCTTACAAATATAAATGCCTAGGCCAAGCATGTGACTATTGGAGTCATTACAAATTAAAGGAAGATCAACAATATCATTAAGATCACAAGATGAGACAGCCAAACTCAAATTAATCTCACAAAGAGCAAGTAGGTCTGGTGAACTTTGCAAAAGATAAGACTCAACAGAAGAAAGGTTACTTCAAAGACCATGAATATTAGTGAATGATAGGTATAGAGAACTTGGTAATAATGATGGTTTTTTGTGCTTTATAGTTTTTGGTACTTTGTTCATTTTTAAATTTGTTAAAGAACTTCACTCAAAGCATAGATAGTACTCAGTACACTATTTAATAGTCCAAACAATCGCCTCAACAAAGCTGTAACAAATGGCTCCAAATGTGGCCTTGACAATGCACAGCAAATGTACGAACAGGGACACCTTCTATGCGCAACATGGCACTGTTAGTACTCTGATATTTTACAGCTGTTGATGGAATCAGCTTCTCTGAGAGCTACCACAGAATTCGGAAAACCTGACTACCAGCTGGCCTCAGAACCATAAAACTGAGTTTGTACCCTCGTTACCTATACCCTCATTAGGAGATAATAGAATGAGTTACCTAGTCATAAAAAAAGACACAAGCAAAACCATGCAGTGAGTCAAGAAGATCCAGCATTCAACATCCTAAACTGGAAACAATGTATTATAAATACATCTACACCAGCCTGATAGATAAAGAAGGAGTGCGAGGCTGGTCAACGGGTAGAACTTATTTACCCCTTAAATGAGTACTTTACTTTGCGAGCTATCATTTATTGCTCCATCAAACAAAACTTAATTGTGGCAAGGTATTTAGCTAACTTGTATTCCTTTAATGTAACTACTCATTCCAGTGTTTTGAGGTTCTCTCCTATTCTTATATTTTTCTGACACAAAATTAAAATTTTTTTTAACCTTTAATCTATCGCTTTATTGTTCTTTAACTTTTTCTTCACTGTTTTCTGTTAATTCTTCTTTCTCTTCTGACTGGTTAATTTTTCTTTATTAGTTTTTCTGATGTCAAACAAACCCTTCATTATACCCTTAAAAAGTCATTTATAGTTATTCATTAACAGTCTTTACATATATTACAGTTTAATATCTTACTATATTATACAGCTTTACATATGTTGCAAAAGAAATTTATGTTTTTACCTAAAAAATTAAACTGTACCCTTAATGTAAGTAAGGGAATAGAGTATATTTTTTAAATCAAATATTATTCTTTATAAAAAAATTTCTCTTTAAAAATAAAGAAAAAACTTTAGTTTAAATGCAGATAATTAAAAATACATTATCTACTTTATGAGTTATTATTATTATTTTATTGGATATATTATAAAATAATATATCCAAAGTTGCAAATTTGCAAATAAATCATAATATATTCTCGACATGATTTATTTGCTAAAATTAAATAAAGTTTTTACAGTTTAAAAAAATTTATAAGCTGTTTTTAATTTTTACATTTGTTTGAAAATTATTTGTTGATGATTGATTGTTGATTTTATTGATGTTTGTTTATCTTTGTTTGTAGATGTTATCTGAATTAAAGAAAGAAAACTTTGATTTAAAGTTGAGGCTCTACATGACTCAGAAGAACAGTGAAGTAAGTTTTAAATTTCATTAATTTTCTGCATGGCTCTGAAAAGTGTAAAATTTTCTTTTAATTAATTTTAACTTTTCTTTTACCTTTAACGCAATGTAACAAATTAAAATGTTTACATGAATATAAATTAACTAAAATATATATTGTAAATATTATTTTCTTAGTCGGCTGAGGGAAAGGTTTCCGAGTATGAGCAACAACTTGCAGCACTTTTAAGCAGTCTTGAGGAACAACAGCAACTTGCAGAAAAGCAAAACCAAGAATTGCGTGAATCGCGTACTCGTGAAAAAGAACTGATGATTAAGCAAAAACGACTTGAAGAACGATGCAAAGAACAAACGGAACAAATTCACAACTTATCTGTCAGTCTCTCCAAATTTTCGGCTAGTATGAACGATATAACAGGACCGTTTCATCATAGCACTCCGATGCGAAAAACGAATTCTGGTCACTTTCAAACCCAAACCTCCAAAGACGATAGCAGTATGGATTTTGAATATTCTGGCGAAAAGCAATTCTCATCTATGATAAACATTTCCCATGTAGCACCTATGGCTCATGATAAAAATTCTCCAAATTTCGGAAATGACAGCCATACAAATGGTCGTAATGGTGATTTTAACACAACTGTTCCAATTACTAAGAATTATTATTCCAATAATTATGAAGGTCGTCATAATAGAACTGAAGGTTATGACAATGTTGGTGTTGTGAAACCGAACAATGCAAGGACTGAGGTTACAGTTGAATTTCCTGATCATTCAAAAGCTCCTTTAGTGATACCAAAGAAAAAGAAAGGAATCATGAGAGTGTTTAAACTATGTGTTGGAAAATCTGGCCAGCCAATCTCTCGTGACGAATCCATGTATATAAAAAGAGAGCCTGCTAAAATTACAATGACCACAACTAATTAGTTAATATAGTATGTAAAAATGCTTTTTGATATACGAAAAAATTTGATCTTTAAAAATTTAAGCTTTCGGTGAATAAGAAAAAAAAAACACCTGTACATGCAAAACAATAAACTCAAGAACATCTTACAATTAAAGGTTTTTAATAAAAGAATCTGGTGCCATTTGGTACAAGTACTTTATTTTTTTATATCAAGACTCAAGAAAATATTTTAAAAATTCACAAATTTGAAAATTTATTAAAGTTTAAATTTGAATATTTATTTTTTGTGTATTTGGTTTTGGTTATAAACTGTAAATAAGGATATTTTTTGTTTTTTTAATAAATATTTTTAATAAATATTTTAAAATTAAAGTATAAATTTTATGTAAATTTTGATTCTATTTTATTATCTGTTTTATAATTCTCTTTACTATAAATGTATATATTTAAGTAAGAATATGTTAAGGGGTATTTTTTATTATTTTAGATAAAACTTTTTAATTCTTAGATTCAAAATCCAAAATCTTTCATATTAATTTAGTTTTGCAGCTCTATATATACAACTATCTTTTGATAATGTTTTTCTTTTGTTGACCTATTATGTTAACGTATATTCTTATGATGCCTTTATTTATTATATATATATTTTTTTTTCAAAAATAAAATTAATTTACTTTGATAAAATACTCTTATAAAATATTTTTCGTTTTATGTCTCAATCGTTATTCCAATATTTAAATTTCCCGTTTCTTGATAAGGCAATGTTTTTTTAAAAACTTTAAATAACTATTTTTTGATCCATTTTTTGTGATGATCCCTTGCTACCGTCTAGTTTAAATTATATGTAATAAAATAAATCACAATGTCCTAATGTCATAAAATAAATCTTAATGTCATTAAATAAATATATCTCTACTCGATGTACTTAAGGACGTTTTTTTTATCTTTTTTTGTAGATTATACTGTTTATTTATTGTAGTTTTACTCGCCTTCGCATAAGAACAAAAGAAATTTTTCGAGTTATGCGGTTTATATCTGGTACGCATATTATATCAATTTAAAAACAACATTTGCCGATATTATTTTAAAAATAATAAAAAAACTAGCTGTCTGAAACCATAAAACAGGTCAAGTTATGTCTGTTTCGCACCTATCAATTTATATGTATTCTTTATAATGTCACTTCTATAATTTATTAGTAAACGGTAGAAAATAATTGTTTTTTAAAAATTAAAGTTTTTTATAAAGATCCATCCCCCTCCCTAAACGTGTAATTGGCCGGTTAGAAGAGTTATTTTAATTAAAAATAATCAAGATTTAATTCTATTTATTCTTTAACTTAATTCAAGAGCTTTTACCAAAATAATAAAATGCAAAACAAATATATTTATATTTTGAAAAAATAAATATTTTCACACATTTAATTACAAATTATCAAAATACAACATTAGTAAATTTTGTACACCTTTATATTTAAAATACGTCATTCGATTATAAAATCTAAAAAATGTTCAAAATATCAGTGATCCAAAATAAGAGTCTTGGTCTGTTCCAAAACAACCATTAATGTTACTTAAATTATTTAATGGTAAAACAGATTAATAATTTAAAACTTAAGTTAAACCATTAAAGTTATTATACATATTATAACTATCAAATAAAATGAATAAATTATATATCTTCATAAAAATTACTAATTAGTATAACGAAATTCGCAAAAAAATCTTTTCAACGAATAACAAAAGTTTACTAATAAAAAAAAAACATAATTGTCATATTTGTTTTTATATATTGGATAAATACGTCATGGTAAACCTAAAATATAAAACTAATGTAAAGTAAATCACATTTAAAAATTGGAAATCTATTTACCTGTTCATTTATGGTAACCTTTTGTGATATTGAAGTAAATTCTATTTATTGAAAAGATAACAATAAAATCTGTTTTAAAGATCAAAAGCAATAAAAATACTAAAGATAAAATTAAATTAAGACATAAATTGGATTTTTAGCAAAATGTTGTCTTGGCTTTTAGTAAATGATTTAAAGGAGTAAGTCTCTGTAATAAAAGTACCTGTTATTCATTTTTTATCGATAGTCACTAATAGGAAAGTGAGCCAAGCTGTCTATCAACACAAATCACATAGATAACATCACAAGAATAACACACAAAGATAGGACATATATCAAAAAGACATTTATAAGTACACAGCTAGGCTGACAAGCCTAACAACCATACTCTACAAGTTGCTAAGTTTCACAAATTTGAAAACATGGAAACAATTTAGTAGAAATATATATACAAAGCTATAAACACATATAACCTTCTAATAAATATAATCTTGCATTACACATGTAAACACATATAACAATTATAAACATATATGACAAACAGGGCTGTCTTGAAGGAGGAGGGGGATGTAAAGGGTGTCCTAGACCCCTAAGCTAACTCCCTAGACTCAAACTTCCAAAGCTGATATATGTGCATTTGAGTTGGCATTTTGGTACATCAGCATAAAACACGTGTTTGCAATCTATAAACAATCAACTTTCAAATTTAAAAATCTAAACACTATAAAACAAAGAAGATTAAAAAATATTATGTTATTGGGTAATGTTTTTTACCTACCATACCTTGAATGTTTATCAATTTAAAAAAACCAACTTTTAAATGCTTCCTAAATGTTTTTGAACAAGCAACATAAAGTTTGACCAACAAAGTATATCTAAAAAAACTGTGTTTTTTTTAGATATACATTAACTTAATCAAATGTTTGACTTTAAATACTGTTTTCACTAAATATGCCAATAAAACTGATAACGCTTTAGAACAAAAACTAAATTAGAACCTAATGGAGCTACCTGAATTTGAGCAGCAAACACCTGTTTACCACCAGAAACACCAACGCAATCTTTCATTCCAGTTTGTGATCTAAATTTCAGAGTAACATAGTTGCACAACCAATATTAAATTTTAATCAATGAGACATACCTAAAGGAGTTAAGCTGTTTAAAATCTGAACAGGAAAGTTATTCATTAAGTTTATCAGTCACAATTCGATCAGCACTTGAATACAACTTAACATTTTTTTCATTTCTTCATTGAATAATAATGGAGCCACATTAGTGGGTATTACAATTAAAACTTAAAATTACAATAGGGCTTCACAGAATAAAGTTGTTTTTTATTTTTTTTCCTTTGTTTTGGAACTTTGACAAAAACTATCATCTTTTTTTACTTCATTTGGTTTTGCTTGTTGTACTTCAATTTAGTTTTTTTTTTCAATTTTAAATATTGTCAGCCATTATTGCTTGTTATGGTGGCACAGGTAACTTACTTATTTATAATGCTAAGTCTGTATTTACGCAATAAAATATCTAGATTAGGCAAACCTAGTACTATAAACATATTTGTAGTGCTTGAGTACTTGTCATATCGAAAAAACATTTTAGCACATTAAAACAAGAGTCTAACTTTCGAGCATTTCTTGAATCAACTGATTAATATGTTTGTATGTGTATATAGACATTTAGTCTCTCAATTTATATTAGCATTATCAAACAAACCATTTTCTATTTTGTGACCCAGATACTTGAATTTTTCAATGAAAACAAATTTACATCCAGCTAAGGTAAATATTGGACAATTGCTTGATACAATCTTCCTCTCTGTTTTAGGTTAAAGACCATACACACCTTTTTTTTTTGTATTAAATGACATGTTAATGGCAGTGACTTCAACATTTAAATTACTTAAGAATATTTTCAATGCAAACCAAGAAAAAGGAATATCGTCGGCATATACCAAAAGATTCAAAAAGTTCCACCTATTTTAAATCCAATATGCATTTTCGTAATATTGAAAATCAGTGTTCTTATATAAATTATAAACAAGAACGGTGAAAGAATTCCACCTTGCCGTACACCATTGCTTATATTAAAGCTATCAGAGTTTACTTTCTGCCATATGATAAGCATAGTCTGATTCTTGTACCAAGATGCAAGTAGACAGACAACATTCTTGGCAATACCCTGATCAATTAAGTTAGAAAACAGTTTCCATTACTTAATGCTATCAAACGCTTTGATGAAATCTATAAAAAATGTGAATAAATGGCTCCTCTAGAAATATTTAACTGTCTTTTTTAAATAATATGTACAAAACATTCTCAAGAGATTCAATTCTTTCTTATAAAATATGATAAGTATTTTAGAGTAAGCAGGAGAGATTGTGATTGCTCTGTAATTATTTACATCTGTTTTGTAATTATTTACATCAAGTCTCTAATTTCAGAATTTACTAGAGGTATCGTCGTGCCTTCACAAAATTTCCATAGCAAATTTTCATACAACAAGCGTAAACTAACAAAAATACTTAGATAGAGACAAGGTCTATGTCCTCTATATATAAATGGTTCTATAAACAAGTCATACATGGTCCATCATTTTTATGAAAAGTCCCTTACTAAGAATACGTTTCGCTAGCTTGGTTTATAATGAAACATGTTGCTTTTTTCATTAAATTGTAGAATTAGAATTATAATATCGAATTGAAGTGAGTGTAATCTAATAATGTTTCAAATAAACTATTTAAAATTGATTTATAACCGAGTTATTTTTATATAACAGCAGAAAACAATCATAAAATTCAAAATATTTTTATAATAAATAACTTTTTGACATGCCACTTTTTTCTAATGTTTAATATAGGTTACAAACATTAACATCGGAAAGTATGGCAATGTAAAACTTCTCCCTCGATGAGCGAAATAGACAAATATGAGCGTTTTTAAGAACATCTCGTGTAACTTAAAATATTCAAAAATAAATAAAAATAGATAAATAAAAAAATAAAAATAAATAAATTAAAAAAAAAAAAAAAATATGAGCGTTTTTAACAACGTCTCGTGCAATCTAAAATATTCAAAAATTTCAAGTTAACTTAAATTTTTACTAGCGCAATATAATTAAAGAGGAGCTAAGTTAATCAGATTTGTTGAAAAATTTAAAGTATTATATTTGGAACCTGGCAAAATAAAAGTTTAACTTTTAAAGCTTTTAAAAATCGAGTTTTTTACAAAAGTGTCCTTAACTACATTGAGTATGCGATGTATTTAA